GATTCTTCTGATGGGTTAGGGTTGCTGGTCATTTCGAAAGTTGACATGGTGATTAAGGCTGGCTGATCAGATTTTAAAGAAGGCTATTAAGGCAAAATACTGGCTAAAATATGCCAAAAAAGAACCCAAAAAAAGAGCTTAAATCCGCAGCAATGAAGGCTGCCTGAAAAAATGCCATAGAAGCCGATGGCTCTGATACCATGAAACAAAAATGTGGGAAGGAAAATTGTTACTTTTCATTAATAATACACAGCAATATATAGTAATTTACAAGAGGAAAAATAGGAAACTAAATCAGCTTAAAATCTGGAAAGAATATTCTCCAATCATTGTGATTAAGGGATAGACAAATAATTGAATCCCTTCAATTAAGGGATTTCAAAACACAAATTATTTTCCTAAGCTATTTACAGCCTTTTTTTCACTTGACAATTACTATTCACTATTCATTTTAAAACTAACCTACCCTCAATCTTATTTAAATTAGTAGCAAATTATCAATTCAAAATTTTATTTTATTACTAAAATTGTATTGAATTAAACTAAGGTAATCTACTTATAAATTGTTAGGATTTTCAATTTCACTTCAATGTTAATTTAATTTCAATTCATTTAGTCACTTTTCATAGTGTGTCAAGAAGAATTATACTATTTGTACATAAGCAGTTATATAATAATTTACATATAGACGAGGTGTTAAAAAGAAAGTGATTTTTTTTTATTCAGTTGAAGGAATTCTGACCCAATCATATATGACCACATCATATGTATGCCTATTATATACACATAGTACAACTGGTGTCAATAATCAAATTAATCTATTATAGCTGGTGAATCTTGATCAAAACTAACCTATTCATATGTTCGAATTTACTATATCAGGGATATAAATTCATACACATATGAATGCTTCAATCTACATGAATTCTAACCAGATTGCATCGTCTATAATTATCTTTCAATATCTTATAGTAACTATATTATTTATTGCACAAGTTAGATTAATACATTAGCTCTCGATCTCAATATCATTCCTAAATCAATCAATTGATGTGCAGGCAATTGAAAGCAATCAAATCATAATAAATAATTAACACATTCAAGTTTCATGAAGTTTTGAAATTAAACAAATATTAAAACCATAAACTATATTGTCATCCTAACCAAAAAATGTATTTAGTCACTCATATTATTGGAATTAAAAATAAGCTTAAAAGTCATTATCTGATTTAATTACAATGAACAAGATAAAATCACTCAAAGCTATTGTTGCTCTTCGCAACACGAATCCCAACAATAATTCTTCATTTTCTTCTTGACTATAGATCTTCCGCTAATTTATTGGTGGTGCGTGACTAATTTTGATTTTTACACGATTTTCAATGATTTTTGTGTATAAGATTTTGGAATTTTGTTGTCAATTTGTTAGTTTCATATGATGCAATTTAGCGCAATGTGCTATAAGATTCGTTGCGTGATTGTTCGGACAAGGTAGGAGATCTATACCAACAAAGCAGCACAAGTAGCAGTGGTTGCCTTAGCAATTTAGTCCTTAGGTCCACTTTATTGTGAATATTTCTTTATTTCAATTCAAATCCTTCAATTTTAAAATGCAGAATTTGATCCCAAAGTTGAAGATTTTATACAAATTTCATCCTTCTTTATTAATATTCACTTCGATCCCAACTTTTCTCCTAACATAATCTAAAAACACAAACAATTATGAGTAAACTTCATAATAATAATTCCATAAGCCACTTTAGATGGCTTCGATAAATGTAAATTTTACACTTATCAAATACCTCAAACTTGAAATTTTGTTCGTCATCAAATAAGCATAATAGATAACGACTCTAAACAAATACACTTAATTAGATCTAAGCAACATTTCCTCAAAGTGCATGTCAAATTCAAAAAAAAATAAACAAGTTAATAAAATATAAGAATAGAAAATAATTTCTCAAACCTCACATATATCTTGCGTTTCTTTGTGTGCGTTAATCAGGAACACGACTTGAATCAACTTCAACTGCAACCAAATCCCAGTAAAGGTCAACAAACTATCTCATCACTCGTATTGCTCTCTTTGTTTTTCATTTTCCCCAAATCAAACTAACAAAAAGATAGAGTTGCCCCCTAGGGCATAATCTAGTGGTGTAAATGACATGAGTGAGGTAATCTCAGCTTTGCTGGCAGTCACAGTATGAGAGTTCTATTTTTGAGATTTGGAATCGAACTCTTTATGAATACTAGTGTACAAGCAAGCTTTTGTTCGCTGACCTGCTGAGGCAGATCCCGCGATTTACCTCCCTCACGATGTTCTCGGGACGGGGCGGTAAAGGCCCTCAAAATTGGGGTTCAACCTCTATTTTTTTTTTTTATTACAAAAAAATAGAATTTGTTTTCATCGTCCACTCAATCACCTTCCAATTCCTAATCAAAAAATCCAGACTTTATCGGGGAGTGATACTGACTTATCTCACTTTTGTGTTTTACTTCTCTTTTATTTTTATTTTGTTACTTTTTCTGTTTATGTGATCTTTTTGATCTTCGAAAGTAATTTTCAGTCTTACACCATAGACAGCCTTCTTTTCAAATAAATTATCTTATAAACAATTTTATTTTGTGAGAAGAGTCAAATTAGTCAACATCAGATTCACATTACAGTATGGGTAAGTGATTAATTGCAAAACAATATTGTGGCGCCATTATTTTTAACCCTGTTCTCAAGTCGGAACAGAGGGCTTTATTCATTCCCAAATTCCTGCACAATTGTCAATAATTTTTGCGCGTTCAATTCTCTCTCTCTCCCCCTTTTTTTCTGAGCCCTTTTTGCTTCCTCTTTTCTTTCTCTATACACGTGTCTTCCTTCTTCCAGAATTCCATATCCCCATTAGAATTTGATTCCAAATCAAATTTTTTGTTTTAAGGCCCAATTAATGTAGCTTGCGGTCAAGGATTCGATCTTTCAAATGATGCATTTTAGTCCTCGGGCCTACTTTATTGTGCTGCACGAATAGTTTTTTATTTCAATTCCAAGTCCTTCAATTTCCAGAGTGTGGAACTTGATCCTAAACTGCAAATCGTATTCAAATTTCTTCATTCTTGATTAATATTTGCTCCGATCCTCAGTTTTCTCCTAACGTAATTCAAAAACACAAATAATTAAACATCAACTTCATAATAATAATAATCCCAAAACCCACTTTTGGTGGCTTAAAAAAGTGTAAATTTTACACTTATCATCACACTTCCAAAGTTCAATTTTAAATTATGATTTAGGTTGATTTGACTAACAAAACCTATTAGTTTAAGTTTTGTCAATGGAAAATTTCATAACTATCATACTTTAAGAATACAATTTTAAAAATATCAAATTTGTAGAATTATTTAAGAAATCAGGTCATAAATCAAATTATGAACATATGGAGAGTACAATAGGACTTACATTGAGAATCAATAGAGGATAAGTGATGATTATTCTCTCTTCGTTTTATCACTTGCTAAAAAAATCAATCATTATCTTATTTCCAAAGTTCTCACAAATCCTAAAACAGAATATAGAATTTTGGACCTACATGGTGTGACAATCTAGAATAGATGAAGAAATTGACAACAAATTTCAACAAGATTTCTTTAGAATAATTGTTTTTCTTATCCATAGTTTTTGCATCGTTTGTAATATATTGTTGAAGCATAGAATTAAACGATCGTTAGTCAACAATTGTTCTGTTTACCAATATCGACCACAACATTTTTTGATCATTTTGTGCGAATATTGTGACTGTGATCTAATACGTCGTGTGATTGTGACATATATGTTATGTGACTATGACTCCCAATCACATAATTGTGACAACCTATAATTTCAAGTATGCATGTACATATTAAGAATGTGATCTAATACATTTTTAATTGTAAAATTGTCATTTCATGCGAAAATTGTAATTACGTTAAGTAATTGTGACTTTTGAGGTTGTGTGATTGTGACTTAAAATATTTATAATACCTTATGTGATTGTAACATACTATGTTTATGACAACCATTCTTAAATATGTGATACTATTTTATAGCTTCATGTATCTTTGCATGTGCCTTGAAACAAATGTTTGGAAATTGACTCCGTATCAAAAGAATAATGTTATTTGCAGTCGCTCACTGCAGCAGTCGTCCTACGTGGCATATACATGACAGGTGGTTATTTGATGTATTAATGAATAAAAAAACTACCACATTAATATATCAAATAATCACCTATCATGTGTATGTGGTAGGGTGACAACCGTAGTGAGCGACTGCAAATAGTATTACTCGTATCAAAATCATGACATGACTTGAAAGCTTCATTTAGAACATAAGAATGGAAATTGAATGGGTAGTTAATAATCTTACTTTTCTCTGTCCAATATTTTTATTTTTGAAATCCGTTGAAGATGATAATTAACTTCCATATCCGAAATTACTGACGAAACTATATACTTTTAAAAATATAGTTTTAAAAATATTAAGTGCTTGTTTGTGCCCCATTATTTGCGAGTAATGTATTATGAAATAGTGATTGATAATGAAATGTGTGATTAAAAAAGAAGGAAATTTTTTTAATTTACGTGTAATATTATTTTAATGAAAAATGTGTAGTTCAAAATGAGTACTGTAAAAAAAAAAAATAATGTGGTAAAATGTAAAAAAAATAATAGACAAGAGCTTAAAATAGATATGTTAAATATAATTAATATCTTTTTTTTATTTTTGAAAAATTCTTAATTATCTGATTATTGTAATTAAATCATTAAATCTCAAATCACGATTCTGTTTAAATTCCTCTTTTGTCAAACAATAAGCAATTTAATTTGAAAATACATAAAAAACCAGCTCATGCTAGCAACATATTTTGAAAAACCTTCCTCAGTGACACCCAAAAGCATTAACATAAAACGAAGAGCAGCAAAATTTTTGCTATGTATAATGCTAAAATCCGCCAAATTTTACTTACTATGCATGAAGAGCAAATTTTTGCCATGTATAATGCGAAAAATAAGCCAAATTTTACTTCTCTCCATTTCATTCTGAAGTTACACTAATTTCTCTAGAACATATTACTTAACGAACAAACACTCGAACATTTCGTCTGCCAAAAAGTAGATGCATTTACTACAAAATTACTACGAACTCTACTATATCTGTATTTCTTTGTATTTACTACCCCACTGGAATGACTATCAGAAATTGAATCTTTCAAAATCAAGCTACCAACTTCTGGGGTGAATTGAGAGAAGAACAGACAGCATTCATGTGCTGCAGATGCAATGCAGCCAAAAGACCTTGCCAAGTGTCCCCGGGCGCGCCAGCCACATGAAACTCGAGAAGCTTCTTCTGCTTCTTATAGTATTCTTCGACGGGCTTCCTCTGAACAAAAGCAAATTTCCGGGTTATTAGCACGTCACTACTTGCAGCTGATGCAAGAAATTAAATCTTGCTGTTAATAGCTCGCTGATAAAAAAAAATTATCGTCAACTCCACATATGATAGATAAATATGGTGCAGGAACCTGTCTTGGACACCATAATCTTATGTTTGGACGGATCCAAAACAGTGTGTTCGGTATACCGATTTTGGATGGATCAATCCTTCCGTTTGTATAAAATTTATTTTAACTAAAGCTTGCAAGAGTCCATTGAATCGGGAAGATCTTTGCCGTGTTAATCCCAAAACAGTATCAGATACTTAATAAATATGTTATATATCATAGCCAGATAGTATTAATTCAGAAGACCAATGGAAGCACCTGCTCTAAGTACGCACGAAGTTTCTCCTTACAGGCAGTATCTTTGTCAGCACAGGAAGATTCCAGTTGGCCATCTTTTGGCTGAAGATTTAAATTGAATCCCGAGCCAGCCAAGCAATGAAAATCTCGAGAACGAGAATAAGTTCGATTGCCTAGATCTTTCTTTACCATATGCTCTGTGCATTTAAGATTCAGCACCAAGTCTATATCAGTAATTCGGTCCAGGATTTCCTGCAAGGACCATAGCAGTCACATACATCAAAGTTCTTCTTGAGAATGTTTGTGAGTATTTTTCCTACTCCTATTACACTAGATGCAGACTAGAAACAAATCACAGTCCAGCCAAATCTTAGATAACATACCGGGAGTAAAAATTGCATTATCTTACATGTCGAAAGCATGAAAGAGGACCGTTCAATTGGACTGAACAGTGTCAGGAGGACTTCAATTCAATATATTCCATCTAAAGAGACTTATGAGTCTTGATAAACTATCCAGAGAACACAGAGAAGAGGAAAATATCACTACTTACAGCCTGAATTCTGGTGCGAGGTACTCCATCCAAAATAAAGCCGGTTTCACCCCTGCAGTACCCTTCCTCCAGTCTCTTCGACAACAACCCAAAAATTACTTCCTCAGGTACTAGTTTCCCTTGGTTCACCGCACTTGCAATCTGTTTTTAAGAAATATCAAGAAAATAATCAAGTGACACGAAGAAATTGCCATCATTGACGCAATATTGTCAACGAATGTCACCAAAAAAAAAAAAACTGTAAAGTTGTACTTCATTGAGCGATTTCATAGTAAACAAGACCTAAAACTTTCGATTTCTTCTTTTTCTCGAAGTTTTAATCTGAAAACTCCTTAACTTCCATTCTTTTTCTCCAAGTATTTTTTATTTTGGAAAATAAAAAATTCCATTCTTTCAGAAAAGCAAACAGCTTCAAGTTGTGCAATTCATGAATTTCAATGATATACTAACGTGCAGCTATTGATTTTCAAAATTCAGATATAACAAAAACAATATAAAAGCTAAAAACACCTCAATTTCTTCCATTTCTTGTTCATTTTCCTAGATTGAACTTATTTTTCTTCTTCAATTTTAAGTTTTTTCATAATTTCGTTGCATTTCTTTTAATAATCCCCTGGAACCAACAATTATGTAATAGACAGAATAGAAAGTAAACCTGTTTGTAAAGGGCAGAATGAGGGTGCAGCTCTTGACGAACAAGTGTACCCATTGAAATATGCGGAACATCCAGAAGCTTCGAGAGCCTTTCAGCGTAGACGTGTCGCCTTACCACTGGATCACCAATAACGACCCATTGTACTCCCCGCCCTACCCTATCACACCCCTCCTCGGATTCCTCCATTGCCCTCCGCTTCCCGTTCCCCCGTTGTTCCTCTTCATCATCATAATAGTAGTAATCATAGTCCAACTGAGCCGCAGACGCTGATCCATAAGCTCGAATGAGACCAAGCCGATGTGAAACAAGGGGCCGCATCGCCACTCTGAGGTGGCTCAGTACTGCCATGGCGGCGTACACAAAATTACAGAAGGGTTTGAAAATAGTAAAGAGAAAATAAAGCAAGCGGGCATAAGGGTTTGGAATAGTATATTTATATGATGTTGTGGAGGATAGTTTTTGAGTCCAACTCTGCTGGACAGCCAAGGCGAAGTCCAGGTTATTGCCCACCTAATTAATTTTCCAATTTTAGTGGGTTAATGGTGAAATTAATTAGGGTAAATATGAGATAATATGTTAACTATTGATAACATGTCAAGAATTAATTGAAGGAACGGTAAAAATCGACACCAAATCTTTACTTATAATTTGTACTCATATCGAACAATATTTACGTTTTATGCCACCCCATTTTTCTTGGAATTTATTGAGAAGAATGAGGTTAAAAAAACTAAAAATCTGTGAATTTGAGCTCTCATTTGACAAATCATTATTTTAGTAAAATAATATTTTGAATAGTGATTGTTAAACGAACGTGTGGTAAAATTTAATGCTATTATGCATCATTAGTACTAAGCATCAATCTATATAACAATTACATGAAAATAAATGATATGTTCTTAGATGTAATATCATATGATTAATTTAATTTAGCTTATCAAGTGTGATCACCTAAATTGGTGTTAAATAGTATTATTCGTTAAAAATAGAGAAAAATTTTGAATTTACATGTAGAATATTTTATTTTATGAATATGTGATTGAAAATGATATATGGAAAAAAGTATTCAAATAATGATCGTCAAACGGGACTGAAGTTCAATATGGGGGCATTTCTGGAAGTTTCTAGAATAGGGGTCCCACAAGAGCTAAAAATTGAGTTTAAAGGAAGAAAAATGCTCCTCAAATCGGGGAAAAAACAAAGTGATGTGGCCGTTCTTGATTAAGTGTTTTTGAGTTTTGTTTTTTAAATTTTCGATAAAAATCTGCCAAGTGTAGTTAAAAAAAAAATTGCCACGGAGTCTGACCATCACATGATTGTTAAAGGAATTAGTTCTGGACCGTTAAGAAATAGCGGCAACCACACGCCAGGAAGAATAGGTGGTTAGAATGATCACACGTGGAATCATGACAGAAGATAATCCCGTGGCGTTGCCGTGGTCCGTGCGTAGTAAATAATTCTCACATGTGACAGTTGATTTCGGGCCATAGTGGTTGGCACACCATACCTTGGGAATATTTATTGGGATATTGGCCAAATAATCTACTTAAACTTGTATATATTCATTCTATAGCTTCACTTATAAATTTCTATTTCTAATAGTAAAAGATTAACATATTCTTGTTAAAATTTAAAAGATACTAAAATAAGTTATAGGTGAAAGATATGAATATTTTTCAATTGCAATGAGAGAACTGACAAATCAAAGTAAATCCAATTCAAATTTCAGTCAAATAGATAGCTCTTTCTTTTCACAGATATTTCATTTTTTTTCATCACTAAATCCTTATAATTTGTATTCTACTTATTCAAATATATCTTCAAAGCTCAATATAAATTTCTCGTCAATAGTTAATTAAAGTCAACATTTTGCATCGGAAAGAACATTTTCACTTTCACACATTTCGTTATTTTTTATTTTGTTTATAAGTGTTAGATTCTATGTTGGCTTATTTTAGTGTATTTAGACAAATAGATATGAATTATTGGATAGTGATGAGTGTGTTTGACATCTTATCCATGCTCATAAATTTGATCAATATTTACAAATTGTGTGAAGTTATATTTAACTCAGTGTGAATATTGTTATTGTGGGTAAAATCAAAATTTGAGGTATTTTGGAGCAAAATTGAGGATTTTGAGTTTAATTGAAGTTAGTTTGGAGCAATTAAAAATAAACCAAATTGCACAAAATTGTAAGAAGCGTTAGGAAAGTAACAAGTTTTGGGAGTGAAATTCAATTTATGAAAAAAATTAGGGACTAATTTGCACACGTTTGGAACCTGAGTTTCATAGAGGTTTTGGGATCAATATGAAAGCTTTTGGAATTTGCGAGGTCAATTTGAAGATTTGGATAAAAGAACCAAAATCGGATGAAAAACCTAAGATGGGGACCAAATTTGAGATTTTTAAAAGTTATAGGGGCTGGACAGCAATAGCGTACCATAGTATGCGACTTGTGGTCAAACCGTGATCATCGGAACCAGTAGGATTTGGCGGCGGTCTAGACCGTGGCTTGATTTATTTGTGAGCTTTAAAAAAAATAATTTCCATTCTTGAAGTCAACAAGATTTATTTGTTTCCAGAGATTAAGAAAACTGTTCAATCTGGTAATACATAGTTTTTTCTGATGTCCATTCAATTAATTCTAGAGTCAATTTAGTGGATTAGTGGTAAAATTAATGAGGGTAAATACTAGATAACATGTTAATTATTGATGACATATAAAAAACTAATTGAACGAACAGCAAAATGGACAATAAAATTGAACAGCAGATCTTGACTTATAGTTTGTACTCATATATAACGATATTCACGTTTACGCCACCCCATTTTTCTTGGAATTTATTGAGAAGAATGAGGTTAAAAAAACTAAAAATCTGAGAATTTGAGTCCTCATTTGACAATCATTATTTGAGTTAAAATAATATTTTGAATAGTGATTGTTGAGAGAACTTGTGGTTAAAAAACGTAATGCGTCATTAGTATTAAGCACCAATCTATCTAACAATTACATAACATTAAATAATACATTTACTTAAATGTAATATCATATGATTAATTTAATTTAGCCTATCAAGTGTGTTCACCTAAATTGGTGTTGATAACATTATTCGTTAAAAATAGAAATTTTTATTTTTTGAATTTATATGTAAAATATTTTATTTTACGAATATGTGTTGGAAAATGAGTATTTGAAAAAAGCGTTCAAATAATGATTGTCAAACGGGGTTGAAGTTCAATACATAGTTGGGGGCATTGTGGAAGTTTCTAGAATAGGGGTCCCACGATCTAAAAATTGAGTTTAAAGGAAGAAAAATACTACTCAAATGGGGAAAAAAAGAAAAAAAGACATGGTGACATACCACGTAGCATGAATGTTAAAGGAATTAGTTGTGGACCGTTAAGAAATATCGGCATCCACACGCCAGGAATAATAGGTGGCTAGAATGATCACACGTGGACATCGTGACAGAGGATAATGCTTCTGCCGGCTTCATAATAATTCTCACATGTAACAGTTGATTTAGGTCCATAGTGATTGGCACACCATACCTTTGGAATATTTATTGGGAATTGGCCAATAGTCTACTTAAACTTGTATATATTCATTCTATTGCTTCACATATAAATTTCTATTTTTTTTTTTTTTTTTTATATATCCAGGTATCCTAACTTACACCAGACTAAATCCTGGACTCCAAAGACCCTTGCCCCTAGAATCTTGGAGGGGGTAAATCGCGGGTTATGCCTTAACTGGATCACGGATTCCCCCCATTGCCTGTACACTTCTGCGCACAAGAGACCCTCCTCCACAGTGATTGCTGCATACCAAATATTTGGCCGACTAATAGTAAAAGATTAACATATTCTTGTTAAAATTCCAAAAATACTAAAATAAGTTATAGGTGAAAGATATGAATATTTTTTTTCAATTGCAATGAGAGAACTAATAAATCAAAGTAAACCCAATTCAAAGTTCAATCAAATAAACAGCTCTTTCTTTCCATAGATACTTCATTTTCTCCATCACTAAATCCTTATAATTTATAATCTACTTATTCAATTTTATCTTCAAAACTCAATATAAATTTCTCGTCAATAGTTATTAGAAGTCAACCTTTTGCATTGGAAAGAACATTTTCACTTTCACACATTTCGTTATTTTTTATTTTGTTTATAAGTGTTAGATTCTATGTTGGCTTAATTTAGTGTATTTAGATAAATAGATATGAATTATTGGATAGTGATGAGTGTGTTTGACATCTTATCCATGCTTATAAATTTGATCAATATTTACAAATTGTGTGAAGTTATATTTAACTTAGTGTAAATATTGTTGTTGTAGGTAAAATCAAAATTTGAGGTATTTTGGAGCAAAATTGAGGATTTTTGAGTTTAATTGAAGTTAATTTGGAGCAATTAAAAATAAATCAAATTGTACGAAATTGACAAGAAGGGTTAAGAGAGCAATTAAAGGAAATTAGCAAGTTTTGGGAGTGAAATTCAATTTATGAAAAAATTAGGGACTAATTTGCACAAGTTGGGAATCTGAGTAAGACCAATTTCATAGAGGTTTTGGGATCAATATGAAAGCTTTTGGAATTTACGAGGTCAATTTGAAGATTTGGATAAAAGAACCAAAATCGGATGAAAAACATAAAACCTCGCTGTGAGCTTTAAAAAAATAAAATGAAGTCAACAAGATTTGTTTGTTTCCAGAGATTAAGAAAACTGTTCAATCTCGTAATACACAAAGGTCGACCCAATAAACACGTAAAGGAGGTGAATATGTGTAATTTGCAGAATTAAAAATTAACTAATAGTAACTCATAATAAGTCATAAATTATTAAATCCAGATGAATCAAAATCAATTTAAACCTTATCAATGATTCAAGCATTAATATAAAAGCAGAAAAGTAATTAATATAAAGAATTGTTAACGAAGGAAAAACCCTTGAAAAATTCTCCCGATGCACGTGCTAGTAAATGATCCACTAGAAAAGATTGAAATTACAAAATTGGTTCGAACACAATTAAATCTTAGTAGATTCTGATCCCCAACCTGTAATCATAGAAAAGCTCCTCGGTTGTGCCCTCCGAACCTCTGGATTTCTTTTCTCCTCGTGGATCACCAAAAACGAACTTGTTCTTCAATAACCAAAACTTTGGTCGTCTCTCAAGATTTTTGGAAATCTAAAGGATATTCAGTAGAGGATTTAGCGGTAATTTGATCTTTTGGTATTTTGGTATTTTGATCTTGTGGTTGAAGCAAAAGAATTATGGAATGAAATGATGTTCTCTTTGATGAATATTAGCTCAACATACCATATGGATGGATTTTCATTGGATATATATAATATTAGAGAGTTATAAGTTGAATAGGATTGTAAAAAGGCTGAAAATCATGACCTAGGGTTTCCTCGGAACACATGACCACTCGAGCGCTCCCTTGGACGGTCAACAGGCGATAAGGTTCTACAAAAATTGCTTGAGAATTCACCTGGCAGTCTTCAAGCGCTTTTGGTTAGTACTTGATCGTCTTGAGCTAACATCGAGTCCTTTCAAAGACACTCCTAACACTCAATAGCTCAACCCTAATTACAACTCAATTAAATGAAGGACATGGAACTTTACCAATGCTCTAGAACGAACAAACTTCTCCTTTGACATTCAGTGACAAAATCATTATTATAGTACATAATGAATATAATTGAATTCCTACCAAGAAACATATTTGACTAATCCAATAACTCAAAACCACATCTACATCTCAATTGCTTTGTCATACATGTTTTATGAAACACATCAACTCAAACAATACCAAGTATAAAAGCATGAAAAAATTGATAACAAATCACATAACCTAAGTCATATTCACAATGCAAGTAAAAATATGTATTATCACGTGTATCAATAACTTAGAAAAATAAACATGACAATTGAGATAGAAATATATCAAAAATATAATATTAATAAACTTAATATATTGATTTAAGTTACCAACTTCAGAAGATAATATCAATATTATACAAAACCTCAAAATTGAAATGTTTGCTAGCCAAATGAACAACAACTACCTAAATAAATACTACTCCCCCTTTTTGTCAAAGTAAAAATAAAATTAAAAATTAAAAATTAAAAAAAACGGGAGCATGCAACCCAATCAGAATCTCGCTTAGTAGCATCTTCCACACAATATGATGTTAATTTGCCCAAGTAATGAGATGATTTAGAATCTTGAAGATTTAGAGTATATGAAGGTTAAAAAGTTATGAAAAATGTTAAGAAAAAATAATGAATATATGGTTTTAAATATATGCAGTGTTAAGTCATGTGTAACATATTTCACGTATGCATTTGATCACTCGTACCAATATAATTCATAAAAAAATGAACTTTCCCACACAACTCATTATAAATCTATATAGAGTACAATGTATAAGAGATCTACGTGTGAAATGTGCCATTAATACCTTGTGAGTAAGACTCAAAATCTTAATTTTGTGCAAAGAAACATGCAAAATAAAATCTCTGGTGAATGAATGTTTTTCTCAAATAATGAAAGTCATGCCCAACACTATCGGGACCTATTAAACAAAGATAGCTCATATTAATTTTATGTATACATTTGCTCCTACTATCTATGAGCATATATTTTTTCTCATCTAATGTGAAAAATTTTATTCATTAAGCTTTTTAAATGATCTTTGTAATGAATTTTAGGCCGATGACTCCTAAATCAAATATTTAGAGGACACTAGGGTAGGGATGTCAAACGGGTCGAGCAACTTGGGCTCATAGGAGGCTCAATCCTATGGCTCGCGAGCGGCGGCTCGTGGGCTCGCAAAAAATGTGCAAATTTTCCAAATTTTTTTTTTTTAAAAATTACGAGTTCGTGAGCAGCTCGGCCCGTGATTCGTGGGCCGAGTCGAGCTCCCCTCGAATAACGAGCTGAGCTCGAGCTCAGCTTCTTTTTCACGAGCCACGAGCCCGAGCTTGCCATCCCTACAGTAGGTTTTAGATATCCTAGAAGGTTTAATCACTCGAGTCATAAAAAGTTACAAAAAGAAGTATAAGATGTTTCAATCTCTCTATTGACATGTGATTTGAATCATTTTAAACTCATTGTTATTGTTTTTAAGGGGAACTATACTAGAGCTTAGGTCAGGCAATTAAAGATCACTCCACCACACCAATGCTCGCATCCCAAATCTCATAAACACGGTCAAGACTCACTCACAAGTGCTTCATGTGTGTAGTGCAAATGATACATGAAACAACCTATACTAAGTCTCCAAATAGATTTTAACTTAAGTCAATGAAACTTTATCGTTCATTCACTTTACGAGTACTCAGTTATAAGATAATAGGTTCAATGACATCACTTCAAAGTGCTATATCATCAAAAACATCCTTTTTTATTTAAAATAAGATAATGAAAAAATCGAGATAAATAAAAATTAGGTTGCATGCATGTATACGTAGACACCATGAACTAGCAAATGCATGCACCTAAATACCTATTCAAGGAGTTACATAGACAATTTTAGTTGTAAGAGCAACGTGAGCAACAACATAATTCAATTCTTTATTTTGACCAATGAGTTCACTCTTTTTAACCCAAACCTTTCTAGACAAAGAGGTTATCTTAATCAAGTAAGTCATCATTTCAATCAAGTGGCTAACTTGATTAGTTAAAAACCTAACCTGATTAGTGATGTCTTCTTATTGTTCCTAATTAAAAGTTTATGACACCTAGGTTTTGTGTGACCTAACTCACCATAGTTGTAACTCGTGGAAATGAACTTAGGGGCATCGCTAGGTTTCCAGTTAAGGACTTTAACTTGAATAAGTCTATGTTGTATAGATGATCTCTGTCCTAGGATATCCTTTTTCTTGGATTCAATGACTCCTAAAGTCTTAGTCTTGGTAAAGACAGGTACAAATGTGGTTTTAGAAAAGGTAGCAGTATATGAACTTGTTTCATTATAACCCGATCAACCATCTACCATCTAATTCATTCATAATTTCTTAATTTACGATTTTATCTTGATTCTTGATTTTTCATAACATCGAGATATAGTGTAAATTTACTAACACATATTTTCACTAAATTTAGGTGCCCAAAAACCTATATGTTCATGAATTTCGGATGTGTACGGATCGTGACAAGTAGTATTATGTATTTTTAAGTTCAAGCATCATCCCACAGAGACTACCATCCACTATTAATTTTAAACTAACTTAGCTTCAATTTAAATTAAAATGGTAACCATATCAAAACAAACTATGTTTTATAACTAATTTTAGTTAGGATTTTCAATTTTACTTAGGTTGCTTAACATTTATCTAATTCTAATTTATTCAGCCCCCTTTTTATATGTGCCAACAATCAAATTCACCTAATGTTGCCAGTGATCTCTTTCGAGTAACAAGAATCCTATTTGTATGTCCAAACTTACTATCCCTAATTGGTTTTCAAGTAATCGACACATTAAATACATAATAAATAATTAACACATATAATAGTGGCATGAAGTCTTGGAATTAAAAAAAAATAAAAATTAAACTATTTAGTCATTCATAATGTTGAAATAAAAGAAATAAATGTTAAAAAACATTAACGGGTTTAATTACAATAAACAAAATTAAATTCACTCCGAACTATTGTTGATCTTCCCCACACGAATTGTAGCAATTGTTCTTTGTTTCCTTGTATAATATAAATCTCCTAATAAATTGACAATGATACATAGGGCCGGGCATGATCGAATCAAGCCGGATCCGAAATTTTCAGGTATTTAGTAAGTGGAATAGTCGGATCCAAATTTAACTATGAAACTGTTCGGGTTTAGTTTCATATGGTTCAATTCGATTTGATTCGGTTCTCAAGTTTTATACTATAATTAGTTTTTTTAATATTTATAAAGTTACATTAATTTAACTAATAACATGTTCAATTTTAACTCTTATAAAATGACGTAAGCCAATCTTATATGTCTTTTGCGCCTCCTTTTGCTAAATTCTTTATAGATTTGATTGTTAAAATCATAGGAAGAGAAAGATAACGAGCTGACAATAATTAAGAAAAGTGTTATCGAGTTTCAATTCGATTTATCTAGAACGATAGAAATGTCACTACATTAGAATAACAGATTTGGTTAAAAACTTAGCTCAAATGGATTAAGTTGGGCTTGGACTGAAAAATAAAAATAGGAAAATCATATTTTTAGGTTTGAGTTAAATTAACTAGTTAGCAAATTTATTTTGAAAAAAAATAAATAATAATTATTTTAAATAAATAAATTTAAAAAATTAGGGAGAATTATTTCTTATTTGATTTTTCGATTCTTGATCTAGAATTGAGAATCAAATCGAATCCGTCAATTCTCGATTCAAATACTCGTTTGAATATTTAATTTAAGAAGAATTGTTTAATTTGATTCGATCGGTTGGGTTCGAAAGTTTTACCCAACCCTAAGGATACATTATTAATTCCCCAAATTCTTAAACAATTATCAATTGATTAATTCACAACAAATCTTGAATTCTTTTTCTCTGCCGCTGTTGCCGTCCCCTGTTACACCCCCACCCCCTCCCTCTCATAATCCCCAAACTGCCGGCAGCTTCGTAACCTAAAAAAGAATCCATGTCCACTTTGACTTTTCATTCCCAGTGCATTTCCAAGGACCAAGTAAAATAATATTTTCACCAACGCCTCATCTTTCACATATAGTGCATTTTAGTCCTTGAGTTCATCAGTTTTGCTGCCCTTGTCCTCTCCAATTTCTAGTTTATGAAATTTGATCCCGAAATTGCAGATTTCATTCAGTTTCGTCCTTCTTAGTCAACATTTGCTTCAATCTCGAGTTTTCTCCTAATATATTTAAAAAAAAAAATAATTAAACATCAAATTCACAATATATTAATAAGGAAAAGTCACTCTTGATGATTTAGATAAGTGTAAATTTCACACGAATCAGTATACTCGCACAAATTAATCTAAATTTTCTCTTCTTATGCATGTTGTGCCATACCTATACATCGACTGACTTATATTTAGACTTAGTCATTACAGCCCAATAAAATTTATAATCCTTCGAGATCATCTTATACAAATTCTTAACCGTTTTGACTACGTATTTGTCTTCTCTTCCCAATGGCATGACTTTCTTGTTGATTTCAAAGCTGGACTTGTACAATATGAATGAATCAACGGTCTTCTTTTCTTTACTTATTTTAATCCAACAGCTAACATCCCTTTGTACAAGTTCTATTATTTTGGTTTGGTCATCCCTATTACGCGTTCTTATCAGGTACCTGATAAGTGCCTATATATACACTACTGGATGAAGCCATTTCGTGTTCAAAAATTGCTGGGCTTTTCTTCTATTGCTCAAATCTCTCTCTCTCCTCTCTCTCTCTCTCGTTTCTTGGAGAAGCTCGGAGCATATTTGACTTCACAGTTGCTCAGGGACGTTACTAATAAAATTGTGGTCGACCTGACACGTTTTCGTGTTATTAATAGCTTATTTTCTTCGTTTTCTTGGCATTTTGATCTCTACACATTTCACCGTTCCACCACCTGAAATTCATTGTGGTCCTAGTGTACACCAGCTTGGTAGTTTTGTCAACTGTTCGGGGCTGAGCATAGTTTTCGCAAATTGTTTAATGGACAAATACAAGCAATATGAACGTGTATTCAACCACTTCGATGAAAATAGAGATGGAAAAATATCGCCTTGTGAGCTTCAAAAGTGCGCGAACTTAATCGGTGGGGTAATGTCCTTGGAAGAGGCGGAGACAGCCGTCGTGTTGATGGATTCGGATGGAGATGGGTTGTTGTGTGTAGAGGATTTCATGAAGTTAGTCGAAGGAGTAGAAGAAGAAGAAAAGACAAGAGACTTGAAGGAGGCCTTTAGGATGTACGAAATGGAGGGGAGTGGATGTATAACACCGAAGAGTTTAAAAAGAATGCTTAGTAGAATAGGAGAGTACAAAACCATTGATGAATGCGAATTGATGATAGCTCATTTCGATATCAATGGGGATGGACTACTCAATTTCGATGAGTTTAAGGTTATGATGTCTTGTTGACCTTTGAATATAATTGTCATCCATTGGTTTTATAGTTTTATAAGTTAGAGATTCTTTCTGCAGGCTATTTCCTGCACATTATGTTATTCATTTGATATTGTATCATTGATTATGTTTTCTAGGGTTTCGTTATTTTCCACAGGGTTCCTACCATACTCTTGCTTGGTAGACTGCGTGTCTAGTTTATGTGAATCGTTTAATGGAAAAAAAATTGAGAAATATGAATGTGTATTCGGCCACTGCGAAGGAGACAAAAAATATCGCTTTGCGAGAAAAATATGAAAAACGAGAAGATGGAGATGGAAAACACGAACCAAATATAAAGAATAAAGTGAGGCCTAAAACACGTATACGATACGCTTTCCTAAAAGCGATATTTGCATCCATTTGAATTGCTTTTAGGATTTTCGACAAATAGTTTAGAAGATATGACAAGATTTTAATGAAGAAACACTAAAGCAAAAGTGATTCTTCCGAAAAATTCGATAAATATATATACCGTAGTGATTTCACTCGAAGTAGGGGTGGGCGCGGGTCGGTTCTGTTCGGAACAAAATTTTCAGGTATCTAGTAAATGGAACCGTCGGGTCCAAATATAATTATGGAACTGTTCGGGTTCGGTCCAGTTCGGTTTGGTTCGGTTCGATTTTGTACTATAATTAAAATTTTTAACATTTATAACAATATTATATAAATACAACTAATGATATATTCAATGGTTTTGGAATGCCATAAATTATCTTGTTCAAATGATCGTTACGGTCAAAGTTTTGGTCGGCGGAGGTTGCAACTTCGATCGGAGGTCACAAAATCGGCCGACGATTGTATAGGTTTTGAAATGTCAACGAGGCTGCGAGAGTGAGTGCGAGAGTTGAGACAACGTTATGCACTTTAGTGTAGGTATTTAGAGTTATTTAGTGAATTGGACCTTGTTGTGCTAAGCAATGAAACAATAAAATGGGTAATGGGACCAAAAATTAAAAAAATTAGAAATGAAACAACTTATTGGGCCAAAAATTTGGATTTAGAAATTGATAATTTGTTTAGAAAAAATTAAAATTAAAATAATTTGATTTACTCAATATAAAAAAAATTAGAAATATTCGGTTCTTATTCGGTTCTTGGTCTAGAACCGAGAAACGAATCGTACCCGTCGGTTCGCAATTCAGATACCCGTTCGGGTATTTAATTTGACAAGAACCGTCGGATTCGATTTAGTTTGGTTCGGGTTCGATTGGGTTGGTTCGGTTCGGGAGATTTGCCCACCCCTAACTCAAAGGGAGAACAGTGATTTCTTGTATTTAGAGTTGAAAGATTATCACATATTTATAAATTTTCAACCACAAACCACGAATTGGTGCCAAAATTTTCATGAAAAAAAACAAAAAAAATTCAAATTTAACGACTTGTTTTCTGAACTATGCGAATGCATGATTTAAAAGAATTAGCCTCGGGTATTCAATTTAAATGCCATGCGCAGGCATGGTATATTCTCATGTGCACACATGATCACTCCACCACCAATTCAATTTTTTTGAGGCCCAACTCTGCCTTTGCCAAATCATTCCTTTTTAGGCCCAATTACTAAAATTATGAACAATGAAGATATAACAATCTCTCACTTGTTGAAAATTATATTGATCACAAATTTTAACTTGCAACACTTATATATAAGGTTTAGATATCTTTTGATTTGAATCTTAACAACAATATCATCGAAATTCCATATAGCATGATAGTTGAACCAATTATTTCTTGTGGTAATACCGGTAAAAACACACACACAAGTTCTATGATTTTCATAGGTTACTCAAACTGGCTTAGCTTTATTATGGTCTTGCGCTTATTCTATTTGCTGAAATTTTAAGAGACACTCTAACTCTCTATTGAAGCGACACTACTTCAAAGTTCACACATTTGAAGTTTTTCTAGTATCTTTTTTACTTTTAGAGATACTTATACCCCGTACCGAACTTCACTAAGAGTTTTATAAACCCAACCCCCAACTCTAACAACCAGCACAATTTATTAAGAGTAGGATTTTAAAAGTATATACAGTGCTAAAACTATCCACTTATAAATGACTTGTTTTTACCCTCGAACCTAGATGTACACTTATTTAGTATAGTTAGGTAGAGTTGCCATCATTGATGAATATTTAATTAAGGAGTTTCAACCCCATCATTCTCGATGATGATCTTACTAATTCTCTTATAAGATGTTTAGTCAATGGATCAGTTGAGTTCTTATTGGATTTCACATATGTGAAAGAGATTACTCCATGCTTAATTAATTTTCTTAGATAATCATGTTTTATACTCATATATCTAGACTTTTTGTTATAATCTTTGCTCTATGCTCATGCTAAGGTGGCTTGACTACTACACAAGATAGACATTGACAAAATATTCTTTGCACCCAAAGGAATTTTATAAAGAAGGTCCATAAGTCACTCAGCCTCTTTTTCTATTTCGGTCAGTGCTACAAACTTGGATTTCATAGTTAAATGTGTGAACATTGCTACATGTACACTATGGTGTACACTTTACCATATGATATTACCTTATTGAACAGTTTAAATTTCAAACAATTTCTCCATCCGATTGACATTTGACAACAATGCAAATGTCAACGAAGGTGTCAAAAGTTAGTGTACAAATAACAAAGTTTTAAATGTGTAATGCATGTTTATTTTTGAGACTTTTCAGAAATTACCTTCCTTAAAGAGTGAACACTCAACTTGAAATAGATTTATTTTTGATAAGTGCATTTTATACACTTATTCAAAATTTTAAAACGATGACATTTAGTTGCTTCTTGGACGAATTATGGTCTAAATTGTTGCATTTGGTATTGAATAGGTAAAATTCAATGATAGTACAAGAAATTGAAGGAAATAAGCAAAAGTTGACAAAATTGGAGAAAATGGTTAAGTTGATCCAAAATTCGGGGACTAAAGTGCATATACTCAAAAGTTGTGTCAGACTTCACGATGAAGATTCAAGAGTTCTTAGAGCCAATTGGATAAAGAAAGACATCAAAAGGATTAAATATAATCAAAGTATGATCACACATCAAGTTCAAACCGAAAAAAAGTTATGCACCGTTTTGCCTCACATTGAGACTCGATTTTGACATAGAAAATGATATCTAAAGCAAAGTTATAGCCTGAATGTTGCTGTAACATCGCTCCAGGCTGCTGCTGCTGAGACCCAAAGGAGTACCGTTAGCCTTTGACTATTGATTCAATTGCTAACGACGCCATTGAGCAAACTTTCCAACTTATCTTGAATCTCTTCAATTCGAAATTAGGAGAAAAAGTTATGATAAAAATATTGAAAGAGGTGCTGTCTGTCCGAAGGTAGTGTTACGATCCTAGGTTCAAGGCGCTGTGGCTCCGGGAGATTCTGAGTGTGGTGCCACCACCTATTTTTGATGCGGCGCTACGACACCGTGGTGCCGCCCAAGCCATAATCTGAGCTAAATTTTGGCACTTTTCGAGTCCAGACAAAAACTCTACCTTCTACATATGGCAAGGCACCTATAAATACGAAATTTCTCACACTTTGTTGGGGGGAGGGGGGGAGTCACACATGGAGAGCCTCTATTATTCATCAGTACAACTAAAAGATATTGGAGAAAATGGGGAGAATTCAAGGGGACAAAAGATCAAAGGATTGAATCTACTCATTGGAGGAAAACACATGTAATTGGGGATTGAAAGGAGGTATTCAAGGGAGGAAAATATTAGGCAATCCAAGTTTTGAAACATAAATTGGAAGAGGAAGAAGTTTTTAGTGCAAGATTGGTATCTTATTCTATATGCTTATTCAAAATCCGGTGATGTCGTCCATAATAACTTCTTGTTTTTCTTTCATTACTATGCGTAGCTAAATCTAATTTTATAGCAAACAATGTAATCTATTTGGGACCCTTTATTTCTTTTATTTGAGATTCTTGTTCGTTATCATTGTATGTTTGGATTTTAATCATGTTCTCAATGCTTTGAATTTTCTGACCAATTATTCAATGATTTCGTGAACAATAATTGAGTATAGACGCAGATTCTTATTTAGACCACATATTAAAATTTGGTAAGTTAATATAACGTGTAGAGATACCTATATTAATTGCTGTGGTCATAAATGAATTTTTACAACTATTAGTGCATTTAACTAAGTTTAGTTCGCATAGAGATATGTGATTGAAGTAGTTAAATAAACTCAATGAGAATTCGAGAGGGATAAGTTAAATACAATAGAAGAATTCGACCGAACACTACATTAGATTTTATGAATCTCGATATTAGAAGTAAAGGTGACCAATAAGTAAAGTTTTTCCTCCCTAATATCAATTTATTGCTTGAATTCTAAGTCACTTTTTGTTGTATCCATTCTCATTTTAAGTAGTTAGATCAAAAATCACAATTGATCATCATTTTTTCCCATCAAGTAGTGGTTAAAGAAAATTGAATTAAGTGTTAAAGTATAGTCCTCATTGGATCGACAACCCGGACTCTTAGGTCCACTTTACTACTTATTATGATCCGTACACTTGGAGGATAATTTTCTCCCTTACTGGATATCTAACTAGCATCGATATATCATTTTAGAATTGTTGGGAACTTTTGATATTGTAGTCCAATGTTTTTGGTTTTATTTAACTTCAAGAATCCTTAAATGACCTTCAAATGTTCTAAAGTTGGATTGCTAATAAACATACTTAGTATAATAACAGAAAAAATACAATATCTGATCTTGTACATTATATTGTGTATATAAGACTTCCAATTGCACTTGTATATGCAATTTGTGCTTTTGCTCTTGAGTTGATCTTTACTTATTTGATACTTGGATCAAATTGGATATTTACCTCTTTATTGTTCAAATATTAGAACTTATTTATTATATTGTCAACATGATTCGAATAGCTTACTGAATAATCCCCTCTATCATTTTTTAATTTGAATTTTTGGATATTATCCACTTATCTAATCCTTCATTTTGAATGTGTAAGATAGATTTTGTTTTTTTTTCTTGGTTTGTTTAATTCCTTTTATATTATTACTAATTATTAACATATCATTGACATAGAGACACACAAATATATAAATATTATTGCATACTTTAGTATATAAAAATTTATCAACCAAGTTATGAACACAATCATATGACATGATAGTAGGATCA